TCCCAAAATTCATTGCTTGTTCACATCATCTCTCTCTCTAAAATTATTTACTGTCTTCCCACGATGTATTTTACAAAGTAAAGCCTCAGCCTAGAATTCAAGGTTTTCCACTCAAGTCTGTATCTGTAATCTCTTTATATCTGCCATCAGCATGAATCCACCTCTCCAACCAAATTTGTCTACCCAGACATGCGTTTCCACTGCAACACTTTTGCTTATACCTTCCCCCCCAACTTTAAGTGAAACAACTCTTTCCTATATACATCTTACCCATCCAATGCCAAAAAAATTGATAAAATTCAATAGCCATTACTGGTTAAAAACCTTAGCTACCCAGAACCAGGTGAATGTTTCCCTAACCTGATGAAGGACTCTCATCTTAAACTAATAGTTAATATATTTAATAGTACAGTTCTAATATACTTCTATTAAAATTCAAAATAAGATGAGGATACAAGCTATTACCAATATTATTTAACTCTCTAGTGAAATTTAAGAGATATCTATTTTGGCAAAAAAGGAGCCAAATATATTTTAATCTACAGGTGATATGATTGTTGCCTCCTCAGACAACCTAAGAGAATCAAATGAAAAAGTAGTAGAACTAATAAGAGCTGCAACCAAGGTTGTAGATTACAAAATATCCAAAAATCAATATGTACCATTAATGACTGGTTAGGAAAAAATGATATAATTTACAATAACTCTAGAGTACATAACAATACAAATAAATATAACAAGAAATGTACAGGATTTATATAAATAAATCTGTAAAACTTTAATGAAGACTACATGCCACATCCACCATTCAATATGAGCTGTGAGCTCACTTCAATTCTGCACCTCCAAAAAGCTTTCCAAAACCAAGATCAAAATATTCTCATATGAACTCCTGTTTTGTTTTTGTTTTTTTTTACTATAGATAATAGTCATCTGATTCCTAACCACATAGCTCTTCAAACGTACACTGTGAGATCCTTAAGAACAGAAATTGTGCTGTTTGTATAGTGGCTATGATGTTAGAGGTCACATCACTAGGTTACTATATAGATTATATAAATAATTTATAATCAATAATTCATTTATACATATTTAATAATTATTAAAACAGTTTATAAAATAATTTAAATTACTATTATATAATTAATAATTTAAATTTGCAATTGTCTTATATACTGTTGGCACATAATAAGCCCTCAATAAGTGGTAGATATTAGTTGTACCTCTTGATAAGAGGTTATACATAGTAGGCCAGAGTGTTGACAAATGTCAAAAAATGAATGATCCCTTTAATTCTATGGATGGCAACACAGGAAGAAATACACACAAACTGTAAGTCAGAACTAAAGGAAGCCAGAAACTTGACATAAAACATGGTCAAGGTCTGGAAATCAGGAGAACATAGTACAAATAGGGGAAGCTTGGAGTTCCTTTAGGGTTTAGTTACTGGGGCAGGGGGTGGAATGGAGCCACAGGGTACTTCAGGGACCAGGAACTATGTAGTTATGGAAAGCCCTGCACTTGGTTTTAAAAGAACAGTGTGTTTATGCTGGTAGGAATATGAATGTATTCAGAGATGTGATGGGTTGGCTGTAGAAAGATTAAAGATAGCTTTTAATCAATGGGAAGATGAGTATGCTAACAGCAGCCAAACTATACCATTAAAACACCACACCTATGCTGATGGTAGATGCATAGTAAATGTGTTTTGAATAGACACTATGCACTTTCAGAATAATTGAGACCACTTAGAGTGATCTTGATTTAAAGTATTATGAAACAGTTGCTCGTTATCTGCTCGTTCAAAAGCTATTACAATTAGAGAATATTCATTCCACATGAGCTACAAAAAAACCAAAAATTATCCTGAATCAGGTTTATGATAGCTAGTGTGACTTCAAAAGAAATTAAGTTTCAAATTAATATTTACACATCTTGCTTCCAGAAGCATCTAAAGAAGCAGAAATCTATACTGTCATTCCAATCCTGGATAGTGTTATTAAACTCTATTGCAAGAACTTATTAGAACCCTTATATAATTTATGTTATGTATTGTTTATTTTATTTTACTAATTGTGTTTCAATCATTAGTAAATTATCTTTTCTAAATATATTTATTGATTATGTTATTACGGTTGTCCCAATTTTCCCCCTTTGACCTCTTCCACCCTGTATCCCCCTTCCCTCCAGCAATCTCCCCCTTTAGTTCATGTCCATGGGTCACGCATATAAGTTTTTTGACTTCTCTGTTTCCTGTACTATCCTTAACCTCCCATTGTCTATTCTGAACCTACCATTTATGCTTCTTATTCTCTGTACCTTTTCCCCCATTCTCTCCGTTCCCCTCCCAGCTGATAAGCCTCCAAATGATCTCTATATGTATGATTCTGTTCCTGTTCTGGTTGTTTGCTTAGTTTGCTTTTTTAGATTCAGTTATTGATTATAGGGGACTGTTCTGCATGGCAGTGGGAAATATAGCCTAGCTCCCACTTGGAAAGGCCAGTGGGGAGCAAGGTCCAGCACACAGGACTCACACCCACAGATAGGTTCAAGTAACTTTCTAAAATCTATGTTAACCTTCCCAAGGATGAGTGTCACTAGTTCAACCACTTTTCCCTCTGCATTTGCAAATATCCTTCTTCTCTGATGTAATTAGCAACACCTTCTCCTTTATTTTCTGTAAAAGGTAACCACCTTAAGCGAACCTGTGCATAGTAAATGAGGACCATCCTCGATGTAATGCACCCAGAAAAGCAACAAAAGCCTGTCCAAGCAGAGGTTGGGACCCTCTCTTACTCAGAGAGTGACCATGCGATCCCTTTTTCTCAACAGGACTTCTGCAGTCCATGTGAATTTGTTTGTTGCAGCCACAACACATGGACTCCGTGGGCCGGGGTCCACATCAGTTGATACTTGTGAATTTGTTGCCATTTTAATGTTCATAGTTTTGATCTTCTTTTTCTTAATTAAGTCCCTTTACCATTTCATGTAATAATGGCTTGGTGATGATGAATTCCTTCAGCTTTACCTTGTCTGGGAACCAATTTATCTGCCCTTCAATTCTAAATGATATCTTTGCTGGATAGAGTAATCTAGGTTGTAGGTCCTTGCTTTTCATCACTTTGAATACTTCTAGCCTGCAAAGTTTATTTTGAGAGATCAGCTGACAGTCTTATGGGAACTCCTTTGTAGGTAACACTCTGCTTTTCTCTTGCTGCTTTTAAGATTCTCTCTTTATCTTTAACCTTTGGCAATTTAATTATGATGTGTCTTGGTGTGTTCCTCTTTTGGTCCAACTTGTTTTGGACTCTGTGCTTCCTGGACTTGTATGTCTATTTCATTCACCAAATTAGGGAAGTTTTCTTTCATTATTTTTTCAAATGAGTTTTCAACTTCTTGCTCTTCCTCTTTTCCTTCTGTCATCCATATGATTTGGATGTTGATATGTTTGGAGATGTCCCAGGGGCTTATACTATTCTCATTTTTTTGAATTCATATTTCTTCTTGCTGTTCTGGTTGAATGCTTATTTCTTTCTTTTGTTTCAAATCATTTATTTGAAACCTAGCTTCCTCCTCTTCACTGTTGGTTCCCTGTAGATTTTTCTTTATTTCACTTAGTGTAAACTTCATTTCTTCCCTTATATTGTTGCCATAATCTATGAGTTCTTTGAGCATCCTGATCACCAGTGTTTTGAACTCTGCATTTGATAGGTTGGTTATCTCCATTTTGTTTGGTTCTTTTTCTGAGATTTTGTTCTATTCTTTCATTTGGGCCATATTTCTTTGTCTCCTTGATTTGGCAGCCTCCCTGTGTTTGTTTTTGTGTATCAGGTAGAGCTTCATTGACTCCCTGTCTCAGTAGTGTGGCCTATTTTAGGGAACACACCTGTAAATTGTGTGTGGGGTAGCCTTAAGTAATTGCTAGGGCAGGGCAACCCACTTTACTGCTTTGTGGCTCTGTGTGGGGGGAGGGCTCAGAGAGGGGACAGTGCTCCTGCCTTACTTATGGAGGTTTTCCCAACCCTTGCCCCATCTCCAGTCACTTTACCCACTCTCTCTATGTACCCATTCTCTCTCTCTCTCTAAGACCCCCTTCCAACTGTTGCCCTGGTGCTGAATCCCAGAGTGGGTGGGTTTGCATACATTCTAAGACTGTGTAGGCCCTTTAAGTGGAATCTCCTGAAAGTCTGGCAGTTTGTTCCACTGCCCTAACTCTCACTGGTTTTTACAGCCAAGAGTTATGGGGATTTAGTTTCCTGCAGCTGGAACCCTGGGCTGTGTGGTCTGCCCTAGAGCTGGGATTGCTCACTTCGAAGGTATCCCTCTCGATTTGTATCCACCACTTGTGAATGCGGGACTTCCCATTCCACTGCTGTGCCTATCTGTGCCACACTACATATCCTTGTCTTCACCTGTCTCTGTGTCTCCACCCTTCCTACCTCTCTGGATGAATGTGTCTTCTTTAAATCCTTGGTTGTCAGGCTTCCATACAGTTCAATTTTCTGATAGTTCTGGATGTTATTTGTTTTGAGGGTTAGTTGTAATTCTCTCTGTGGTTACACGAGGAGGTGAAGCATGTCTACGTATGCCCCATCTTGACCAAAGTCCCAATCATTAGTAAATTTTCAAAAACACTTGTATTATTATTTTACCAAAGCTCTTGTAATGTTAACACAGTCTCTACAATGGTACACTTCTAAACATAGTCAAGTTAGAAAGATTGAGGATAACATTTACAATGTTTATAATTTCATGTGTCAATCTATTTTCTCCTCCTGCCTCTATATTACATAGAGCTTAAGTGAGAATATTGCATTTGCTCTCATATTGTGTAAAGGCTTCTCCTGTTGGATTAGTCTAATATTATTTTTAAATGACTCAAAGGTAAATAAGGCCATCACCTTTATCACACTGTTAAATTCACCCTCAGGTTGTATAATTTTGTTATATAACTACATCCGATAAACAAATTTCAATACAGGTTTAAATCTTTTCCATAGGTAACCATAACTATCATCCAAAAAGCCCTAGAAGACTTTGATGGATCACAAAGAAGTGCTGTGATGAGTTACAGTAAGTGTTTTTGGAATGGAAAAGGGGATAATCCAACTGGCTAAAAGTTTTAGCTAAGTCTCTCCAGCATTATGTCAATAATTGTGCATAAGAGATCTATCAACAGACAATATGGAGAAAGGAGATGAAAAGATTTTAAAAGTCACATAAAAAAGTAAATTCCAATTCAAAGCAACACTAAAGTGATTTCACTACAGGGTTAAAAAAGGACAGTGGGCTCTTCTGCTAAAGCCATGGGTTAAAATCACTGTTGCTTACTAGCTCTGTTATGTGGGTGAGTTATTTACTCAGGGGTAAATACCTTTCAATGTGAACCTCATTTTCCTCATCTCTACATGGTCTGACAATAATCTCTATCTCCTGCACTGTTTTAAGAATTAAGTGAAATGCTTTATGTAAGAAAACCTTAGTAAATTTTATTAATTAACACTGTAAAAATAATATAAAGACTATAAACTATTTTGTGTGTGTATGTGTGTTTCAATGCCATAAGAAGGCAGACTTGTACAGTCTCCTTTGTTGCCTCATGTCTTTTTACCAGGACAATATACATTCAAGGGGTGTAGAGACAGACACCAACGCCTGTGTAGTATAAAGCAAAAGCACTACCATTCAGTTGATGAACACTTAGAGCAAAGAGTAAACAAGACATCATAGATCATAGCCTGACATACTTGCTCTCAGAGAAATTCTTCATGTCATCTTTCCTGTTTCTTAGTAACCTCATTGCTCTCCAAGTTAGTCATGCAAATCAGTTACACACTTATCAGGAAGATTCAAAGGAAGACTGAGAAAGTACATACTCAGTGAAAACCTAATCACATACCTTTGAAGATCTCTAAGATTTCTCCATGTGAGAAGGTTTGCCTACAAAAATCGATAGGACAAAAGAAATTTGACTAATAAATGCACCTACCTTTTCCCCTCTTAGATAACAAACTATCTTAGAAGTCACCCATACTTTTTTCTGTATAGATTGCTTTATACGGGACCATAAGGAAAGGAAAAAGAGAAAGTGAAGTTTCAAGATACTTACTATCTAACAAAGACAAATGTGAATGAGAAATACATAAATCCTTTACAAAAAGTAAAGACAATGTGGCATAGATATTAAGAGCACAAACTTCAGAATCAGATCTATCAGAGTTAGAATGCTGGCTCCACCATTTACTAACAAAGTAAGTGAATTGAAATAACTCTGCATTTCTATGCCTTGGTTGCCTTGTGGGTGATGATACCTCACAGGGTGACATGAGTGTTACATGCAAAAACACGTCATCCACTTGGTAAAAGCATTCAGTTAAGGGAAATAATCTCAGTCTTGGAAACAGAAGCACTCTTTCCCTTGCATCAAAACCAATTAATGATAATTTTGCCTTCCTTTAATTCTTCAAAGGCCTGAACATTGAGAGTTGAATTGCAGCTATTTGGGAATATAGATGAGTCAGTGAAAAAAGGAGACACTGAAGGACCATTGCTGGGCTAGAAAGAGCTATTTTTCATTTTATGATTAAGTCTCACTGAAGGTGACTGAGTACCTCAGTGTTAACTAACTTTCAATGTGAACTTGGAGTCATACAACCAGGGTTCTATTGCCACCCTTCCCTAGCTTTGTTACCCTGGGCAAGTTCTTTACCACCCAAGTTTCAGTGTCCACTCCTGTAAAGGAAGAATGGTAATACAGCCTAATACAGAGAATTGTTGGGTGATTAAATAAAATTAGTGTGTAAAATGCTTAGCATAATGGCTGGAAAACTAAGCATTCTACCTAAGTTAGTTAATGATAATGATGATGATAATGATAATAGTAAGTAGGTCACCTTGAATCTAAAAGTCTAATGTTACTGCAGAATTCCTTATAAGGAGATCGAATAGTGAATTCTAACTAAAATGAGGTATTATTGGCACTAAGTGGTTATAACTAGGGTAAAAATTAATACTAATTTGGGCAAAGGTTTTTGCAAATCTGGGATAGACAATAAACTCCTGTTTGATGTCTTATTTTCCCCAAACATCTCTATTATTTTCCTCAAACCCTGGTTAGCTTTTGTTAACTTATTTCCTCTTTTATCAAAAGATATTTGTCAAATATTATATATTTGAGTAAGTTTTAGCACATAAAATATCTTTTACCTCCAAATAGCTTCAAGTTACAATCTGAAAGCAAATATGAACCCCCTGGGAAGTCTGGGATGTCTAGTGTTACATGAAGTGACAAGGACACTGGCAGCACAAAACTTAAGCAGCAATTGAAAAGAAGCTACCGTTCATTGAGCACCTTCTAGTATCAGGTAAAATACTAGCCTCTTTACATATTTGATTGCCTCCTCATAACAACCCTAAAAGGAAAGTGCTGGTATGCTTATAGTTAAAAAGCAGACCTTGAGGTGTGAGACAGTTTGCTTAAGATCAAAGAGTTGAGAAATGGCAGAGTCAGGGCTAGACTCTAAGTCTGTCTGACTTCAAAGCTGTTCCTCTTTCTCAAGCCTCACTGCCTCTCCCCAGGAAACTGGGAACACACCCAAGCCTATTAGTGGGGACCACAGCAACCTGCTGGTGACATAGGGTCCAGGCACCGATGTGGGCAACACCATGGAATCTAATGCCCATCAGAGGGTGGTGCTGAGGTAGCTGAGAAGCTTCCTGCTCCAGGCACGGCTGGTGATGACCCAAGCAGGCCTGGCCTGCAGGGGAGAAGCACCGAAAATCTAGGTTCATAGAGACAGAAAGAATAAGGCAGAACCTAACACAGAGAGCTTTAAAATGAACCTAGTTGGTCCAGTGATTTTCAAATGTTGCTGCTCACAGCAGTGTTTTGTTTTGTTTTGCTGCTAAAAGTGGCACTCTTCTTTACCCCTTTATAAAATAAATACATAAATAAAAAGCTAAGATGTTCTGAGGTGGGATCAAGGTACAGAAAACCATGGCCTCTAGGCTCTTTGCTAGCTTCTGGGGTGGCTCTAGAGACACATCTGTGGGTCCAGAGCTCCCAGGACCAGTTTGAAAATCACTACCCTCCTTATTAACTGGGTGCTTAAAACACTGAACAATGCAGAGCCATGTCACATAAGGACCTTTACTTGAGTGGTGTTTCCCAGAGTGTGCGCAAGAATCAAATGAGCTGTTTGTACAAATACAGATTCCTGAGCACCAGCCCAGACCCTCTCTTTGGGGGGATTCTTAGCCAAAGCCCTGGAAGGTTCCCATATTTGCCATACCCCAAATAATTCATAGGCTGTCTTCATAAAGTTGTAGCTTGAAAATTCTAGAGTTCAAAGACTTACAACACTCACAAGGTGTTTTTCAATGAATTCCACAGCTTGGTTACAACCTGTCTCTGCTAAGATGACCTGTTTCCTGCACTTGATCTAAAGATGATTGACACTGATGCCATCCAGCAACAACTTTTCCTTGCTTATGTGAGTGACAGGATTTCTCTAAGATCTAATAAAAATGTTAAAAGCTACAAGCATGCTAAGATTGTCACAATATCGAGTAAGGTAAAAAGATCTGGAAAAACTTAGCATGCTTTTTTTCTCCCTAATTATAACTTTCATAGAAATAAAAATTTCAAGCTTTGTATTTTCAGATTCTCCTAGAAAGTGTTTATAAGACTCTCTGGGAGTGGAAATAAGAAATCTGCATTTTTATTAGCTCCCCAGGTGATTCCTAGACACACTCAAACTTGAGAACTAGTGATCTAAGACTCAGCTGCTTAAGGAGTGGCCTGCAGAACAGCAACATGGGCATGCCCTTGGAAACTTGAAGGAAATGCAGAATCTCAGGCTCCACCTCTGACCTACTGAATCAGAATCTGTTTTCTAACAACAACCCTACATGATTTATAGCACATTAAAGTTCAGGAAGCATGTGGCTGGAAGAGGCCAGGCAGACCGCTCAGTCTGCAGCTGGAAGGTAGAGAAAGGGGAACCCAGAAGCACATGCTCAGCAGCCTATGTGGCAAGAGCAGGCTCAGGTGAATGACTGCACAAAAGCTGCCTTTCCATGGAGAAATGGCCACTTTCATTTCTCTGGCTTGCCTGGTCTCTCATCCCAGCATGGTCCGGGCACGAGGTGGGTGCAGGAAAATTCTTCCTTTGGCTGTTGAGTAAGAATGTTTACATTCAGCTCTGGAGAGATGGCTCATTTGGTTGGAGCATCATCCCATACACCAAAGGGTTGTGGGTTTGACCCCTTGTTGAGGTACATACGGGAGGCAACTAATTAATGTTTCTCTCTCACATCTCTGTGTGTGTGTGTGTGTGTGTGTGTGTGTGTGTGTGTGTCTGTTTCAAAGCAATAAACATATTCCATATTCTCAGGTAAGGATTGAAAATAAGAATGTTAACATTCATTATTGATTAAAAACTTTTTATTAATTGCCTGTGTATTCCAGGTAGTGGTAGGGAGACATTATCCAGGCTTCATCCATTCCTACATCCATAGACCTGGCCTGTCCCCCTCACCTGCCTCTGGCTCCTTCTCCTGCTCCTAGAGCCCATTTTGAATGTAGATAATGAGCCTATTGTGGCCACTCTGAAGTTTTTCCCAGTTAGCTGAAGTTTGGCTGTCACCCATCTCACAGTGCCCTGAAGGCTATGTCACCCATTGATCTTCCACATTTCTTTTTACCTGGCATTGGGATGTTCTCAGTGGTTACTTCCTGCGTGCAAACTGCAGCTCCCACAGTGAAGGAGCAGGAGGACCTGACTGCAGGTGTCCCCTGACTGCTCATGGCCATGTTCCCCCGACAAGTCCTCTGAACCACTCTGATGTCTGTGTCCTTCAGAAAAACAGCTTCTAGCATCTGCACTGCCTTGGAATTAAAAGGGAAGGTGGGACCCTCAGACCCTTGGCAGATTTTCAATAATCCTGGTTAGAAAGATTTCAGTTTCACATTGTATTTGTGACACTGTGGTGCTGTCAGCCTGTCTTCGCACTGCTTGGCTCCCCTCAGGACATGCTTCTTCTATTTGGGATTCAGTCAGGTGGAGAAATGTGTGTTTTCTTCCCACTACATGTGCATCTTTATGGCAGGGTGGGGCTGAAGGTGTCTTTAGATCATACTGAGCTCATGTTCCAAGCCATCTTGTGGAACCCCAACATTGCTGGCAGGAACTTCTCCAGAGAGCTTTCCATCACCACAGTACTGAAACCACTAATCACAAGCCATGCTTTGCATTATGTGTAGTTTAACTTCCTTTGCTGAGGCAATGAAAGTTTCAGTTACAACGCATTGTGGTGTTTCTACTGTTATAACTATAAGAGAGAATTTGAAGTACTGTATATATGACCCACCTCTAAACTAACAGGGGACTTTCTAATTATAGTCTAGGAAGAGTCTAAACTGGTTTGTTTTTGTGTTTTTTTCCTTTGTTTGTTTTTTAAAAGATTTTATTTATTTTTGGAGAGAGGGGAAAAAAGGGAGAAAGAGAGGGAGAGAAACATCAGCATGTGGTTACTTCTCATGTGTCCCCTATGGGGGCCCTGGGCCGCAACCTAAGCATGTCCCCTGACTGGGATTCAAACCAGCAACTCTTTGGTTCCCAGGCTCAATCCACTGAGCCACACCAGCCAGGGCTAAACTGGCTTATTTTTGAAACAGACTCAACCACTTTCTGTAGATAATCATGACTTTGAACTTCATAAAAGTTACCAAACCTCTGTGGATGCCACATTTATAAATGCAAAGATCCCTGTATGAGGACCAGAGGCTATACAAGGTGATCTTCTCAGCTCATTTCTAGCACCAAAACCTATGAATTTGTGAATGTCTTTCCTTTTTCGTGAAATCACCCTCTTTTCAGCAAGGTCTTCCATGAAGACTCCCCATTCTCAGAGGAATATGGGCACTGTAGCCTCTACTGCACTTTTACTGTGAACTTGCTCACAGTCAGGTTGGAAGACTAGACACAAAGGTTCTTCAGCTGGAATGCTTACCCTTCTCAGTGAAAGAGATTTCTGTTTCTCTCTGCATGCATATTTTGCTTCCTGTCATCCCCATCTTTTACCAATTGGTTCTTCTCATTCCAGTTTTTGAAATGTGACTTCATTCCCTTTTCGTTATTTTATTCATTTATGCACTTATTCTTTCTACAAATGTTCACGAAATGCCTTCACATGCCCGGTACTGTGCTATGTACTACAGATTTAAGGGCGAGTTAGGCTCATGGAGCTAACAGTGTAGAGTGGTAGTTAAGCATTCATCAAACCCTCATACAATGCATAATCACAGATTGAAATAAGAGCCCTGAAAAAAAGGAACACAGTGCCAGTTGAGTCTATAGCCGGAGAACCTGACTGTGCCAGTCTGTGCTGTCAAACTCCATGAAAAAAGTAGAGCTCTAAGACATTCATTGGCACAATTGGATAAGCCAGACAAAACTTCTCATCAAAACCGTGTGTGGAGGCCCTTGTATTCTGTCACAATGTAGAGTGTTCTCCAAACAGAAGAGTTAATTACTGCTTGGTGAAGACAGGAGAACTCATGTGCTAAGAAGCAGCCAGCTTTTTCGCAGGCAAATTAATTAGTTGTATTGTCACTGTATCAAGTCTTGATTGATAGCTGTCAAGATTAAGTGAACTGTAGGAACAAAGTTATGTGACAGCTTAGAAACACTACAGAAGAATGTCCTAAAATAGAATAATCTTACACAAATACAATTCCTGTACTGCTCCTCATTTCAGGTGGTTTGGGCATGTCTCAAAATTATTCAATCAGTTGTAGCACAGTTTTAGAACAGATTTCAAAGAGAGACTTTTCCAAACTAAATTCCTCTTTAGTACCTTAGTAATGATGTTAAAAGCAAGGAAATGTATTAAAGGGAAATAATATAGATGATAAGGGCAGAAATGATAGATGATAAGGGGAAGAGCTGTAGAAGTCTAGAGCTGCCTCTTCCTTCCCACTGATGCATTTGGCTAGGTGGCTATGTGTATTAGTCATGCATCTTTCCATTGTCAATATGGAAGCCTAATTCAAATTTGCTGTATCAAAATAGTAGTTTATCGACTCATGCATTAAAAAAGTCCAGTCAAAGGCTAAGAAAATGTAAGCTACTTTCTAGGTTTCTTCTCTAGCTTCCTCTGTGCTGACCTCACTAACACACTTTATACACATAGTGGTATCCAGAGTAAGCAGTTTCTGTCCCTCAATAATTCTAGAAAATCCCAGGAAAGGGTTCTCATTGACTCAGTCAGTCATATTCCCATCCCTAAACTTGCCAAAATGAATAAAGCTTTATCTAGGTTGGCTTAGGTTATACGGTCTTTGCTGGAGCCTGCA